TAGGTGATTTCTGTGACACTGCTATGCAGGTGTTCTGAGTGGTTATTATAGCAGTGCTATACCATTCCTACAGTGTTCTAGGTGGTTGCCTGGATGTTCTGGGTGGTTGTCAGGGTGTTGCTATGTGGTTGCTTGGGTGTTCCAGGTGATTTCTGTAACACTGCTATGCAGGTGTTCTGAGTGGTTACTATTGCAGTGCTATGCTGTTCCTATGGTGCTCTGACTGGTTGCTTGGGTATTCAGGGTGGTTTCCAGAGTGTTAGTATGTCGTTGCTAGGGTGTTCTAGATGATTTGTATGACATTGCTATGCAGGTTTTCTGAGTGGTTACTATCATGTTCCTATTACTACTGTCAAGGTGTTGCTATGTGGTTGCTCAGGTGTTCTAAGTGACTGCTATGATACTGCTATGCAGATGTTCTGAGTGGTTACTATGGCAGTGATATACCATTCCTACAGTGTTCTGAGTGGTTGCCAGGGTGTTGTATGTGATTGCTACAACACTGCTATGCAGGTGTTCTAAATGGTAACTATGGCATTGCTACATTGTTCCTTTGGTGGTTACTAAGATGTTCGGGTGGTTGCTAGAGTGTTGCTATGACGACGTTCTAAATGGTCACAACAAGGGTGTCCTAGGTGGTTGCTATGGCATTACTTGGTTGCTGTAGCATAGCTCGGGTATTCAGGGTGTTGGTATGTGGTTGCTAGGGTGTTCTCGATGAGTTGTTTGACATTGCTTTGCAGGTTTTCTGACTGGTGGGTTTCAGGGACATTTCAAGGTGGGTTGCTAGGGCGTTGCTATCTGGATGTTCTGGCTGGCTGGTCAGGGCTATTGGTAGCAAGGGTGTTGCTATGTAGTTGCTAGGTGGTTACTAAAGTGTCCAGGGTGGTTGCCAAGGTGTTCTATGAGGTTGCTAGGGTGTTCTATGTCATTGCTAAGGTGTTCTGGGTGGTTACCAGGGTGGTACTGTAGGATAAAGTTGCTCAGTGGTTGCTGTAGCATGGCTGTCAGGTTGCTAAAGTGTTCTAGGTGATTGCTAGCATATTCTCGGTTGTTGCTAGGGTGCTGGTACGTAGTTGATGGGTGGTTGCTGCAGCAATTCTATGAGGTTTCTAAGGGGTTCTAGGTGGTTGTCAAGGTGTTGCTAGGTACAGGTTCTGTAGTTGCTGAGATGTTCTGAGGGGTTTTAACATACTGCTACTGTTTTCTGTTTCTTTTCTCTTACTGGCAGTGCTTAAGAATATTTCTAGTATCAAATGTGATTTGTTTTAATAAACAGAATGCTGAATGGCTTACGGGTTGTTCTGTTCTCTGGCTGCGTTATAATCGGATTGGTACCTTTTAAGAAGCGGGACACATCCTCCAGCTGAGGGATGTTATCAGGACTGTAGCCGCAGTGTTTCTCCAGTAAGCGGAAAGCCTCTAGATGTTCACTGCAGGCGTGGGTGGTGTACAGATCCCTGAGGGTGGAGTAGACCTCACGCCTGCACACACAATAGGTTGCATGTGAGAAGTCTGAATGAAAAACACAGTGTGAGGATCTCTGGCTGCGTTTCATCTGGGGTTGTTTATTTATTTCAGTTGACCGTACCATGTTTCGATCTCCTCTTCCGTATACTCCACTCTGGGAATCGGTTCTCCGCTGGAAAGAGAGACAGCTGTCAATCAAATATCTGTGTCAACATGTCCAGACAAGCAAATACTGCACGGTAAACATGGTTGCAACATACTGTTTGTATTTGAAGGCAATATCTCCAATCATCTTCCGCCGTTTTCTGTAAATGGGGTCAGTGAATCCCTGCAAAATAAACCACAAACCAGTGCTTGTTATAGAACATTTTGAGGCTGTTTAACTCGTTTCCCGCCATTGAACATAGCTATCTCATGGCCAATTTGTGCATATTTTACAAATTGGCTAATTCGTATGAATTCATACAACCACACTTGTACGATTTCTGTGACGGTTAAGTTTAGGGGCGGGGTTAGTTGTGGTCCTTCGTACGAATTCCTACAAATTTTCTACCTCGTAAAATACAAATGATTTTTCACAAATCGTATGAATTCATACGAGTGAGGCTGTACAAATTCGTACGAATTAGCCACCTTGTCAAATATATACGAATTGCCTTGTCATTGTGTTGCACTGAAAGAATTTCTCGGCTTTGTGCAACTTTTCACTGTTGTATTGTAGGAGGTGCATCTTCTGAAAGAGTACTGAATCTCTGGAACACAGTGAAGAAGAAGCAGAAACAAGCAATCGCATATATAAGCAGATGGATATGTAAAATAATGCGATCATCATACAATAAAAAGCATATAAATCAAAACTGCCTAACGTTACCAAATGAAATGTCGACACAGCAAAGTTGAGGACTTGCAGCTTTGAAGGTGGTTATGGACTTGATCTACTCCATCTATGTTTTAATTATCGTTCTGAATCCAATCCAGACGTAGTCTTTTACAAAAATGCGATGTTTCAGCTTTTTGTTCAAAATGTTGCTTTTTTTATTAAACTTACCTGGTGTTGATAAAATAAGAATGCATGAAGCTGGAATGAAATGATTTGCTCAGGCTCTGTTCTTTCTTTTGACATATTCATACATTCTCAGATATTCATACAGTACAACAATATTTTCTGGGAGCCGTGAAAGTTTCGTCAAAATGATCAAAATTGCTAGCAATCTTTTTAAAAGCGCTGGCAGGGAAAGAGTTTTTCAGGTAAATGAGTGTGTATTTATTTTAGAAGTAGAGAAGAACCAATCCAACACTTACTGGATGATCCTGATCCAGATCCGGATCAAATTTGTTGATGAGATGATGACATTTATCCAGTTCAGCGATTTTTCTTGGAAACCAATGAACTGGAAAATTGACAAAAGTAGAAAAGCTAAGCGTAACTGACATTCAGCTAAGCAAAAGATAAAACAGAGCAACGTTCTGCTTTAATAGACTCACATTTGACCTCTTTAGTGGTTTTGACGTCCTCTGCGCTTCTCTTGAGAGAGCTGACCAGTGTGCTCACGTCTGACAGGTGCACCTTACACTGAACGTAATACTCCAGATCCTCCAGACCGTCCTTCGGTTTTCGGCTCGGTCTGGTCTCAAGATGGTGGATCTTGGCTTCAAATGTCTGTGGTGTTCAGTAGTTGAACAACAGAATAAGATTTAAAAGAAACTACAAGAAATACATGCATATATTGTAGTAATGCCATCAGACAGAGAAAACTGTAATGATAGGATTTTTTATTTATTATTTTTTTTGCAATTGCACGCCTAATTTTCTGTTTATTGTATGTGAATGCGTATGGATATATATATTTGTGTATGCATGGATATGTATATGTGTGCATATGTATATCTTTTATTATTATTTGTTGTAGTCTTATTGAATATGTTTTGAATGTCTGTTTTAATATTTGAGTATTTTGCATTCATGTTTTTTTTTCTTGCAATTTTATCTTTCGATGTACTTTCTGCAGTAATTCAATCTCAGTATTGCTAAACAGAAAAGTAAATAAACTTCCAACCTCAAACTAATATATAAAAATCTATTTATACATTTGATTTTCAAATAATTGAAATACACAAATAAATGTAAGAATACACGTATATATTGGTATATTATCATATAACATATTAATAAATATAAAATGAACAATTATTTAATAAATGTACTTTTTTTGCATTTTGTTGTTACTTAAGAACATATATATCAAGAAAAATGTGTATTCTTCTTCATATTTAGATAAGTGCATAAATTAATAAATGCATTTTTTTGATTTTTGCATTTTGCTATGTTGCTCAAGAACATATGCAAAGAAAAACTATATTCTTCTACATATTCGGACTTCAGATTAGACATTATTGTTTAGAATTTAGACATTGTTTATATAAAAAAATATACCATTGTTTTTTTTTTTTTCTCTCTCTCAGGTATGCAGTACATTATAACTAATATTTTATATTTCGAAACAAAGACTAAGTAGTTGTCAAAAAAATAAAAACGTAGGGCTAATAATTTAAAAAGATCATAGTTTTGAATTAGTTCTAAAGGAACAGAATAACAACCCAAGGAGAATAATAAATAGCTGTTTTAATTTTTTTTTGTTTTTTTTTACTTAAGTGATTCACATATGATTCTT